CCCCCCCTTCATTTTAATTATCTTATGGTTATGAAGGGGCAGCCAATCCGGGAAGAGGACCTCGGCAATTAGCGACCAGAACATCAAAAAGTTTTATTGCGGAGAGCGCGAGGCACCGCCCCCGCCGCCCCGGGATTGGCGTGGGGCGCCTCTGACGACATATATTAACCCGAGCGGCCCTAAAGATGTAGCTGTACATGGAGATCTTGCTGGGAAAACCCGCTCGCTCCCCGCCCGGCGACCAGCTCAGGAGCGCCGCCGCCGCCGCCCCGGAGCGCGTGCCCGTGGGCAGCCACGAGGCCGGGCGGTTCCCGTTCTCGGGAGCGCGCAGGAGGCCAAGGATCCGCCCTCTCAGCAGCTGCCGTGTCGCCTCTGCTGGCCTGGCCCCGCGGGATCCCCTGCGCCCTTGCTTGGGCTCCTGCATCTTTGCCGGACTCCCTGTCTCCATCATGAACCCCCGGATCATTCTCAAGGTGGTGTGGGGCTTTGCTCACGCTGATGTCATTGTTTCCCCCAAAATTATTTATTGGATTGATCAGCATTCACCCATGTATTCACTCATACTCTCATTTATTCATTCAGATGGCAAGGGGATTTAAAATGGCACAAGTGTCACCACCCGATCTGTGTCTTAGAAAGAGCCGCTCTGGCTATTGTGTAGAAAACAGGTTGTAAGCGAAGCGACTGGAGGCCAGTCCTGAGGCTGCCTCTGTGGGTAACCAGGGGGAGATGGTGGCTGTTAGCAGCCGGTCGGTAACAGAGGAGGTGGCGAGGATGACGGGATTCTTAATACGTGATGAATTAGATCACCTTAAATAGGAAACTTCTGTTTCTAAAATTGTAAATTTTCCCCGAATTAACCTATAAATATACTTAATTCTAAACAGAACTGACAACTCCAGTGTGTTTAAGAGTCGGTGTATATCTTGAGGTGACTGTAAATGTATGTGGAAAAAATGAATCAGAAAAAGCCAAGTAATTTGGCTTTTAAATAGACTTTGCTCTAAAGTGATGGTAGATAAGCAAGGTAGCTGTGTCTGCAGGGATTAACATAATTTAGAGAATACTGGGCATGGACCTTGCCTTATGGATACCTGCTGTGAGCTGGCATCCCTCCTCAGGAGAAAGGTCAGATAGTAGTTAAATGACACCCTATATACACAACTCACATCCAGATTAAAGACCAGATGGGGGAGGGGGAGGAATAAAACCCTTCCCAAATTTAACAGACAATATAGAAGAGTATATTCATGACTCTGAAATGGAGGAGATAGTTTTTAAATAAGTACAAAAAGCACAAAAGGTAAAATAACGATTGAAAACTTAGTTACAATTCAAAAATTCATGCTCATCAGTAACACTACAATGGAAGTAAAGTGTTTATGGACTGGGAAAAAATGTTTTCACATGTGGATTTGGCAAAGAATACATATCCAGAAACTATAAATGGCATCTACAAGTTAATACTAAGAAATAGAAACAATCCAATAGAAAAACATGCAAAACATGGCTACATGTAGTTCACAGAGATGGAAAAACAAACGACCTTGACACATGCAGCCTTTCTCAGGTGTCACAGGTGTCGAGCCTTCCCAGAGTACATACATAGTCAACTTTGTTAATCATTTGGGCTCTCGACTCAGGTTTCACAGTTTTTTGGTGGCATCATTCTCAGAAATCTATGAATGTTTAACCAGCTTATGCTCTGTGCCAAGTGTTGGCTCAAAAAAAAAATCATAGTTTCCTTTGTAAAAGAGCTTATGGACAAGAAGACAGACACCTAAACGAATAATTGTTATCATGATTACATTACAAAATTACAGCAGTATAATGTGGGCTATGGCACTTGGAAGAGGGATTAATATCACTGTCAGGAGAATGGGGATGCAAGATGTAAATTATACCAGTTACATCTGTTGTCATGACAACAGACTACAACCACAAAACCTCTGGGGTAGGCGATGATGAACATTTACTTTTGTTGCCCAGTTTAAGAGCTCCCTGGCTGCTCTGACCATCTTAGCAGGACCTTCAGGGCTCATGCATGTGCTGTGGTCATCTGTGGGCTATTGGTGTCTTTGCTGATCCTGCCAGGCTCCCTCATGTCTGGCACTACTGGGTTGATTTAGTTCTGTTCTACCTCTCTTTCCTCCAGGTGGCTGAGGGTGCAGGGAGAGAGGAGAGACTGTGAAACTTAAGGTCTCTTGAAGCTATGTCTAGAAACAGACATGCTTTCATTTCTGCTTAACCTATTGGTCAAGCCAAGTCACAAGACCAGGCCCCACATCAGGGGAGAAATAGACTTATCTTTTGATGGGAGTTGCTGCAAAGTGACATTATAAACAGGGGTAAATATACAGACTGGTTGAGAATTGGGCACATTATTATTTTTTTTTAAAGATTTATTTATTTGTGCATACAGAACTGGGGTACAGGCCGAGGCTCAGGGGTGGTGAGAGGCTTCACCAGAGACGGAGTGGGGAACAGAACAGGCAGATCGACGAAGTACATTGCTGAGGGAAGCAGCGGGAGGGTCAGGAGAGGTCTGCCACACCATGTGGTCACCTCCGGGGCAGGCGGGGATCAAACTCATGCGGAAGCAGCTTTAGATTCTCAGTGCTGTGCTTTAACCCGCTGTGCCACCAGGGAGGGCCAAGGGCACATTATTTTAAAAAATTGTGTGTGTTTGCCTTCCCACACCTCAGTTTTTTGAGGGAAAGTTCCCCTCCCTCACTTCTTTTGATCTTGGTCAGATGGCCAACCATGGGGCTTTATCTTTCCATTGCCTTCTCATGATCTCTGACCCAAGCTGGGTCAGTTAAAACCCTGTCCTGAATTTCTGTGTAGACACTGGGAAAGAGAAGTCATTCTCTTCACTGCCCCCTGTGGTTGCTAAAGTGGAAGAATGTGGACCCAGGCTGCCAGGGCCACTCTTGCTAATTTGCAAAAGTGAAACTAGTTTGAAAGATGCAAGAGACACAGAGATCTGATGATGTCATTTCAGTCCCTGCACTCAGCCAATCCTGAAGCTTGATTTGCCTTCTGGGCTTCCAGTTATGGAATCCAATTAATCCACCCACACATACATTTGACAAAAAAAAAAAAAAAAAAAAAAAAACCAACCCAGACATTCTTTAGAGCTGAATTTCTATCCTAAACTGGCTGTGGGGTTCCCAGAGGTGGTGACTTTTAAGCTGAGTACAACTAAATTTGGAAAAGTAGGAAAAGGAGGCTGATGAAGGAAGAAGAAATGAGCTGAGATTAAAGAATAAAAAGTACCCACAAGTGTTCCCACATTGCTTTGAAAGCATATCTTCCAGAAATAGCTTCCATGGAAACTGAAATAGTATTTTCCAGTGCTGTTGATAAGGAAACTACTTGGAAATTCTTGCTAAGCTTGCATGGACAAAGGTTGTAAAATCTTTACCTTATAACATAGACTTTGACCTGTTCAGGACAAGGCAAAAATAAGACAGCATTGAATTCAGCAAAGGTAGGATTGTCTCAGACATTTCTGAGAATTTGTTTCAGACAAATTCACGAAGGAGAGGGACCATTTCCCCCTCCCTAAGTTGTATGTAGCCACCTTGAATTACCAGCCCCAGTATTCTGTGAACAGGTAGGCCTGCTTTTTTGCTTCTGCTGCCCAACTTGCACCCTGGTACTACTGGAAAGGAAACTTGGCATGAAGTTGGATCCCCAAGGTACAAGCCATAGGGCATGACAGGCTTTTGCCTGCTTCCTGAACAAGGAGGCATGCCAACTTCATTGGCACCAGACTGAGGCCAGCCCTTCTTCCGGCCCACCCTGCCCAGCCTGTGGGCCTGAAGACTTAGGCCTCTCTGAAAGTTGAAGCAATGGCAGCAATTTCCCTGCCCTCTGCCCAAACATACAGCACCCCAGATGCTGCAGTGGCAGGGTGTGTGTTTCTCCACTCTGCTGCTCCAAGGCAGGGAGCTCAATCCCCAGGCACGGAGCTGACCCACGTAATGTACAGCAGTATGTCTCCTGTTTTGCCCACTGCTTCAAGGCCTACAGCTTCACCAGGGCTGAAGTGGTGGTCACCCTGCCTCAGAGTTGGCTCTAACAGTGGAGGTGATCCCAGGACCCACAGTTCATTTTGGGGATGTTATGAATAAAGCTGCTATGAATATTCACATACAAACTTTTTATTTCTTTAGATTTATTTCACTTATTTATGTATAGAAGTACTGGGGTGTGGGCCAGAGGATTCACTAGAGACAGAGTGGGGAGCAGAACAGGCAGATCTACTGAAATACCCTGCTGAGGGGAGCAGTGGGAGAGACAGGAGACATACTGCTGTGTCATGTGGGTCAGCTCCCTGCCTGGGGATTGAACTCAAGTTGTTATGGTGGAAGTGTTAACACTCAACCCCTGGGCCACCAGGGAGGCTCACATATACAAATTTTTCATGGTTATAAGAATATTTATTTTTATATAGCATTGAGTTTTCAATGTTTGGTAGATGTGCTTTGACTTCATCTTGTGTGCAGAGTGATCTTTCCAAGATATAAAGCTCTTGTCACTTCTCACCTGAAAATCCATTCTTGCCCTCCAGATAAAGTCCACCCTCCCTGGTATGGCATTCAAGACTCTTTGATAAGGACCTCAAACTCTAATCATAGCTTCATGCCTTAACCCTGATGCCGGCACACCTACCAGGCCCCAGTTTCCAGAATGCCCTGCATCTCTAGTGACCTTTGCACACACTTTGCTGTAAACTTGTCCCCAGATAGTGTAGGTTCCAGGACAAGCTTATACATGTCCTTTAAAATCCTTTAAAACACTTCTTCCAGGAAGTTGTTCTTGAATTTGCCTGTCACATTTTTGTAACTTCCAATAGGTATAATATATCTCTATCTAGCTAT